ATACGCAAACAGCATAGTGGATATGCTCATGTCTTTCTTTTGTAAAACCACCTCATATCAGCTACACTTGGACTTCTATTGGATAGCTTAAAAACCCCCAAACCTCTAGCAAAATGTGCCCACAGAAAATCACTAGAGGGAAAATTCAATATATCATGAAGCTAGGGGCGCAAATTCTGTTTGGGATTTCCTGGTGTATAAACCTGCATCACTGAATTTCCTTTGGACAGACACCAGCACTACCAACAGCAGACTATGAGGCCCTGCATTCCAGTGCTTAGTTACAAAAGAGTCAGTCGCATTCGTTTGAAATATGGTAGGAAGGTAGTAAAGAATAACTAATAGTCAAACAGGCAATACATCAAAGCAAATAAAAAATGCTGTCACCTACTGTGTGTGAACACATGGCCTTAAAAAAGCCTCGAAAATGCCAGACTGCTCATGCAGGTATTCCACGTGCCCCAGAGGTACTTTCGCCTGATGGACAACCATCTCCTTTACAGTGGCTGTATCAATTCAAATGGTTGGTGAAAAGGCTGCTTGGGCAGACTTCATTACAGCTGAACATCATGTCTGTGAGATCTAGCAATCATCAAGCCCCACTTAAGCCCACTTTGGAGGCTATAAGTGGACTAGAATGATGCAAATGCCTTAAACTGCCCCCTGCAAAAGTTTAAATTCCTCAGCGTAGAACGATTTGGCTCTATTTTGGACAGAGGTGGAGAGGGGCAGAGGGCAAGAGTGCAAATTTAGCAGGCTGAAGTATTACATGTTGATCACTGGATGTTCCCACTAAAAGCACTTTTTTTCTGAATGTAACTCATCTTTCCGACTCTACCATTCCCTGGAGAGAGTTACGACAAATGTGTGCGCTGTCTCTCCTTGTCTTGCTTTGCAAAAGGCAATTCTACAGCAGGAAGAGAAAAATATTTATGATAGAATTTCACACGTTTTTCTGGGTGCTTAAGGAAGCTTGAACTTGAGTGGAGCAGAGAGAGTGCTTATTGTTGAATTTTTTTCAAGATCACTGCACAACAAACAGAAACTGAATAAGCAATTAAGTTAACTGGTTTTAAAACTCATATTAGCTGAGGATTAAGGTAGTTATGTCTCCGCTTACACACATTCATTGCAGCTTTAAACAGTCTTGCTTGCTGTTTTGTTGCTGATGTGGTTCTAAAACTAATCTGAGTTGTTGTCCTGCTGCTAATTACTACAAAGGTTACAAACACAATCTCTCCTTGCTATAAATATAGCTATGTTGTTTGTATTATATGCTCAAAGGAGATGCAGGCCTTTTTTGCTAGGTTTATACAAACAGATCCGTTTCTTCCTGTATCAAAGAATTTACAATACCTTAGACTTAAGGGGTCTGTTAAAATAATACACAATAGATGGGTTTGGTATTGTCATACAGTGATTTCACCGTCAAAGGAGAAAAAAATCTATTTTTAAATTTGCGTGAAAAGAGAGACTGGGAAAGCAGTTATCAGTCTCCACAATATCACTGGCAGAGCAACGTGGATTCTTCACCTTCTGGGTTACAAGTAAGTTTCTTTTTAAATGGCTGGAATGCAGGGGAGGGGAAAGGAAGGGAAACCCCCACATTCTCCTTGTCTAACAAGGAGCCACAGCGTGAGAACCACTCCCTAGCAGAAATAATCTGTGATTGACAATGGTTTTCTTTGCAGCCAGGGCTAAAAATGGTTTAGCTGTAAACAGATAAATGCGGAACATTTTAATGCCCTTTACAAATGCAAGGGCTGCTTACACAAGCACTCTACTTGCAGGGTGGGTAGCTAGTGGCACCAAGTGAGCAGCAAGCTTCAGAGTTCCTGAAAACTGATGAATTTTCGTATCATGGTATGAGCACAAACACAGGAGAAAAAAATTTCTTGTAATGAGCAGATTCACAGAGGACAGCTTCACAAAAACTGAAGGTTTATTCTCCAGGCTGTCCAGGCATTTATATGTGTGATCTTAGGCAAGCTGCTATATTTGGCTTCACCCTTCCTGCCTGAAAAACTGAGATATAAATACTTTCCTCTTCACAGAGAGAATGAATGTGTGTAAGGCACTTGGTACGATGGGGTGGGAGCTCTGCAAACAACCAGAACAAAGACTAAGACTTTGATACAATTTACCTGCAATCTTAAAGTCGCCTCTGAGGTCTACAATGAAAGAATATCAAGGAAATGAGGTGAGGTAGGACAACCTCAGAATTTCACAGAGAATACGAAGGAATCTTTTTACTGAAGTATGTAAAATTGCCTTGTGCTGAAGTTAATGATCATACAAAGAAAGTTATGCAGCAACAGCTTACTTGTATTTTTCAACAGTTTGAAAAATGTTGCTAACATGAACTGTATCTCCGTGGCTTTGTTCTTCTTCACTGATTCTTTCCTGTGAATCAGATACAGTCACAGACTTATCAAGGGATTCTGCAGGTCGTAAAAGGGCAAGCTTACTAGCTATTTCCATGGACATTTTGCCTAAGGTTAGCAGAATCTGTTCCTTGATGTTAGTGATGAACTCACTTGGAGATGAACTCCCTACACACTAGGGAGGCCACCTGAACTAAATAGGACTCAGCCCCAAAAAATGTAGACTTCTAAGGTCCTAAAAGAGTACTTGGTAAACACGTTGATTCGTAACTGAAAGAAATCTTTATTTTAAAAATGAAAACCAGAGGAGAAAGGCAATGTTGACAGCAAGATTGTAAGTCATAAAAACTCTATTATGAATCAAAACAACAGATGCAACATGAACAACAGCATCTTTTATAAATACAAATTAGACTTTTCTTTTTCATGCATTGGAAAGGCTAATATGTCCAAAATAAATTTCCCTGAATCTCTCAGTAATGTTCTATGGTCCGTGTTGACTGGCTGTTACCAGAAAAACCCGTGGATGATTTATATTCCAGCAGAGTCACCCGACATTAATAACTATAACCACTTCCACTAACTATACTCTCTTTGCAGAGGAAAAAACAAAGTACATGTGATTCATACATGTGATCAATGATTTCTTGATCTATATTCACTTCCCTTCTTTCTTTAGTAGCAGGCCTACTGACTGCATGAGTCACCAATTATCACCTTAAGCACCAGACAGGAACTAAATTATCACAGTGCTCCCTCCACAAAGCAGGCATCATACCATGTTTACTGTAATCAGTCTCTGAGGCCCAGATACCTCAGACTTCAAGCAGGAAATAACTTTGTCCTCCCCATTTCACAGTATGAAGAACCAGCGTGTCTGGGACCAGAGGAACTTTTCCAGCCCCAAAATTCTCTAGGCTTGCACTAATCTATCTGTTACAGCAACAGATAAGCTACAGTTGATGAATCAGTCAAAGTACCATATAGAGGCAGACAGAGTGCCTGGCCTTGTGCATTGACAATGGAAAAAGCAGGATGGCCAGATCATGTTTGTATTTCCATGTCTGATCACAAGAGGGAGAGGAAGAAGATCAGCTACTGCTTCTTTCCTTGCGTGGTATGTACTGTTACCGGTGATGCACTCATTCAGTAACCCAGGCACACGAAGAAACAAAACTCAGCTGAACAACATTTACAGAGCTGTTTCTAGCTTCCCATTATCATGATAGAGATCTGATTATTTATAGGTAGCTTTCAAAGCCTATTACTAAGACTTTGCATAATAAACAAATAAATTTTGCACCAGCTCTTGCCTAACAAGAATGCAGGGCTTGACTTTTCTCTTGAGTTTTTCACTGGTGTAATTACAATGAATGGTGAAACCTCTGACTGATACCACAGTGAGAGCATGTCACAACACATGAAATTCATGAACCAGAAAGTATTCCTAACTATCTCTAAATACATCATGAAGGGAACATTTCTTTTTAACATTTTGTCCCCATTTTTAGCAGGTATATCAAAATCTGACAACTCATCCTTGTCTGACATGATCCTACAATGTTGTTTCTGCCTAGTCATGTGGCACTAAATGTGCCACTCTCAGCTCTTCCCATCCTGTCCCAGCTTGAAACCAACCTTGCACTGACTCCTTTGTGTCTAATCACACAGTCAGGGTGGAGTAGTCTTCTCAGATGATAGAAGTACCAATGAGAGGCAATGGAAAATTTTTTGAATGACATACGTATCTTCAGACCTTGGTTTCTCTTTTGTTGATGAACAAAGAAGCTCTAAAACACTAATGCTGTTTTGGACTTCATAACTTTTACGTGTTCAAAACTCATGCAAATAATTATGTATTAATAAAAAGGCAATTCCTGCACTAAATTTTAATTGAATACGTCCTCCTTCCCCTTCTCTCTCTGCTGATGCATGCTCATCTTTCTAGCCTTTTCTAGGAGGCTTTTAAAGAGTAAAGTTACAGAGCTCAAATGCTTAAAGTGTCATTTCTCCAAAGGTACATGGTTAGCACTTAAGTTGGAAATGGTTATACACTTTATTAGTCATAGAATATATAACATCAGATGACTTGGATAACAAATCATGACATGCACAGCAAACGATATAAAACACACTTCATTTGAATTCTCACAAAACACCTCCATTGTCCCTTCATAAACAGATTCTGTCATCAAAGGTGAGCTCACAAATTTAGACTCTTTTTTCAGTTTAAATGTTGCAAATGCTCTATCCCAATAAGTTACTCTAAATGACTCCGGTGTAAATAAGATAAGCCTCTGTCCCATTAAGATCACAGCAAATTAGAGGATTTGAACGTAAGGCTCTCTGCCTGAGCCTATTGTACTACACCACATGGATTTTCCCATTTCAGCAAGACACTGGCATTCCTACTACTAAAAACATTGAAACAAGACATTTCCAAAAATCTTCTAATCCCACCTTAGAAAGTGGAAATCTGGTAGGTCTCTTCTAACTTTACTTCCTATGACAGTAGGAATAAAACCTGTAGTACAAATGACTTGATTACAAAAAAAAAAAAAATCCACTGAAAATAACATCCTTGTTATACAAAGAGTAAAATAAACGAAGTATTACCTTGGCAGGTCCGTTCATCTGTGAGCAGTTTATAGCCTTTCTGGCAGCTGCACTCAAAGCTGCCAACCGTGTTTCGGCAGAAATGGTCACAACCACCATTGTTTACCAAGCACTCATCAATGTCTGCAAAGAATGAATGGGCAAAAATTTAGTTCACGACAGCAATTCAGTAGTTCAGGGCAGGAGTATAGGAGTTTACTCATATTCCCAAAGAGGCTGCTGTCCCTGTTAGGAATCAGGCTGGTCAGATGTATCCCTTCCCAAACCTTTCTCGCAAGGCTTACAAAGGACCTATGGGCTGAGTTGTTCTGGAGACAGAGGTATTTCTCTCACAACTGCAACCACCAGATGACCCAAGCTGAGGCACTCGTATGTTAAAGAACATTCAGGGAAGCTTTTTTGTAGATGTAGTGGTCTGCCTGACAGAAGACTTCAACCTGTGTAAGACGTGAATCCCTTACCTTACATAGGAGATATTAAAACCCCAAAACACATGAAAAATTGAAATAACAACAAATGCAAAGTAAAACATATTTGAATCCTGAAAAAATACTTCCATTATGCCTACATAAACAAATGTAGGGATACATTTGTTCAGAATTAGCATTATGCTAGTTTGTCCATTATGAACACAGTGTCACTGAATACCCATTTTCATGTGTCTAACTTTTTTGACTTGGTATAATAGAAGAGCAACTACGAGTGCATGTGAAATGTTGCTTCTTCAGTTGTTCTGAAGGCACAGCACCTATTGCCTTTATTTGAAAGCCATATATATGTATGAAGGATGGAATCAATGGCTCTTACTTTAAATAATGATTTCGAAGTGCATTGATGAACTTGATAAAACCTCTGTTCTAAATTTGAGACTGGTGACTCTACTTCCTCCACCTTATAACTTCTCCCAAAGGTGTTGAAGAACTGGAATGACCAGTCCCTTTTCCATCCCATAAAAGCTTGTGCAGTAAGTATATAATAGTTCACAGAGCCCCATTTGAAATACAGGGCATCTTTCCATCCTCCCCCACTTATAAAACCATGGATCCGCGTTTATTTGAAAAAGTACTTTTTTTTCAGGAGAAGAACAGTGCCAAAAAATAGCTCTTTTTAGGGATGCATACAGTGAAAAAGTAATATGTCATAGGGCCTTGGCTGCCCACTTCTGGAAATGAAAACAAGATCTTTCAGAAAACCAAGTGGAGAGTGATATTTCCTATTGAAAAGCCTCTTGCTATAAAAGCTTTGAAACTTTGAGGGAACAGCTGGCCATTTAAAAATCAAATCTTGCAAAATACAAATCTAGATGCCAAAAGAGCTAATATGTGGAGATGAAAATTTACCAAAGACAGCATGATGCTGGTGAATGAAGGGTGCATTTAAAAATGATTTGAATTTAGGATGACTTTTAATGGATGTCATTCATTAATTTTTTAAAACATATGATTACTGACATGGGAGAGTAGTATGGCTCTTACCACATTTCTGCATGTAAAATATAAACAGCAGCAAGAGGAGCGAGGAGGTAAATCTAGAAATTCTAATAGCTGAGAGGCAAATTCAGCCCTCTTTTCTAAATGGCACTTTGCTGCACTGACATTGACAGAAATATGCTCAGGAGGATGTACTACTCAAATAAGCAAGAACAATGTATATTGTTCTAAAGGTTTGCTTATGAGTTGCATTTGTGGCAAAGAAGAAGCAAATTTGCTCTGAGACCCTCTGAACTATACTACTGCTTATTACTTTTGTGTCTGGCTCTGCAGAGGAGTGGCTTTTGCATTCAGTCCTATTAAAAGCATGAGGGTAAAAAGGTAGGTAGCAGCTGTGGTGGTATTATGCCCTGAGTGCTTTGCACAAAGCCAGCTCAAATCTTTACGTCTCAGGTAACAAAGTTCTCAAAGTGATCTGAAACCAGGAGTCGCATTTGTTGTCTGTGGTCCTCCAGTTTTGGTGATTAGGCTAGCCAAGAACAGATAATCTTAGGCTCCCAACCTGATAAATCTGGTAAAGAGCACACTGAAGGTTGCTCTACATAATACCATGAGACTGGAAGCTGGTTTCAGCTGTGATCACCAGCACAGGTCAAAATCAGTAGTGAAAACACAAGACTTGTTGGCCCAATTCCTGCAGGCTGGCATTTCCATTTGCAGAAGTGATTCCTCCCAGCTCCAGTATGGGCAACTGGGATTGTGTTGCAGGTCTTATGATGGATTACCACAACAGTCCCATCCTTTTGCACAGCACAGGTGTACCCATCTATAGTTTAGCTTGCCCTGACAAAACTGTTGGACAAATGCAATTGTGAATTAAAATTACTAATATATTATGCATCATGAACACACAGATTCGTCATCCACCATGAAGAAGATCTTTTTTACCCATGATAAGAGTAACATGACCTTTGGGCTACTCTGCTGCTTGAGACTGCTTGAAGCAGAAATTACTTGCAGCCTGTCAAACACCATTCTGAAGTAAGGATTGATGTTTTAAACGATGGCCCCTGGATTTCACATGTTAAATTCCAAATTCCAGTCTCACTAACTTTCTTTTCAAGGTCTCTGAAAACCGTAAGGGACAAAAATGAAACCCTCCTGGCCTCAGAGGCTAGATTTGAAGCTGTTAATCATTGTAATTCCACTGACAATGGAGCATATCAGTTTTACACCAGCAATTCTTTGGAATAATCCTGAATCAGGATCTGGGTAAAACCTGGGAGAGTCCACAGGAAAAGAAAGTATTTATTCATTTCTTCTAGCTGGAAAACATGACGTGGCCTTTTGAAACCAGGACCATCAAAACAGAATAGAGGTCAAAACTGTTAGCTGCAAAAACATTCGAAATAACACAAACAGCGCCAATGTCTCTGCTTTCACTGTATTTCTTTCCACGGCCATAGCGAGACTGACAAGGCATGTAAAAATTATTTCACTCTATGGAGAGCAGTGCATTGCTGCATTTCACTTGAAAGAGAGCAGTATCCAACCATATCATGTCTAACTGGTTCACAGAAATTGCACCAACTCTAGATTCCCACTATTTTTCTTTCCATAGTTATAAATAATTCATGTTATGAGCCATGTGAAAATAAATGATTCCACTGTGTGAGAAGGTGAGGCCCCATTTATCTTTAAACTGACTGGTACCCAACTTTATCAAGTGCCTGTTGTGAACTTCACAGAGACTATGCATGTCTGTCTATCACGTAAGGAAAAAAAAACACAGTGGAAACCCATCATGGTATCTCTACCAGCTTTGAAATTACTTAGTCAAATCTCCCCATACTATTATTGGGATTGTCTGTAGAGGAGTCATAAACCTGATCTCTTCAAACATAGTTTTCAAGTGGTTCCTTTTCAACTGATGACGCAGGTTGCAGAAGAATGGCTCAAACTTTCCACAGTGCTCTGCTTCCCTGTATCCGTAGGAATACAAAAGTATATAAAGAACTGTATTTCTCCACGGGGGGGTTGTATGTAAAATGTCCTGATGATCAGTGTTCAGACAACATGCTGGTCATTTCAGACTAGGAGATCTGATGGGCTTTTGGTGCATTAGCAATGAAATCCCAAAGGATTTCTCTTAATGCAGTCAGTCAATGTTGTTAAATGATACCTTGCTCATACAAGCCCCTGATCTGCTACAAATACCAACTGATGTGCCCAGCACAAATGGGATGCTTGCGGAAATGGAAAATACAGACCAATGAAAAACCACAGAAGCATTAAAATTTACTAGTCAAAAATGTTAGGTGAAGGTATGGCATAACAGGCTCCTATTAGCCCTGAAAATGGTTCATTCCTCTCCCCCTGTGCAATTAAAAACAAACAAAAGCAAACATATGATTTGCACAAAGGTAGATAAAACCTTCTTTAAAGTTGTAATATTTGGGGGAAAAAAAAATCGTAACTATTAGTCTGGAGATGGAACTCGGCAACACCATCACAAAAGATGTAGGCCTGTGTGAACCCAGAAAGAAACCCTGGGTCATCTTGCTATTCACAAATAGTGGAGAAGCTCCACTCCAGCTTCTGTGACTCGCTGTCATCTCTATGTGCATTGCTTATAGCAAATCCCGTAAGCAAAGGCCTGGCATCAAGACAGACACTGTGGTGAAGTCAAGCACGACTATTCTCTGGATTTGCTTATGTGACCCTAGAGCCTTGTGGCTAGTAAGTCACAATTTTGATACGCATATCCAAGTACTCTTTTAAAATGCCCTTTCTTTGTAGCTATTTCACAAAGCTCTCCATATTCTTTTGGACACTCAAAAGCTAATTTCAGAAGAACGGAAGGGGTAATAATTTTAGAAGAATGAAGGAGGAATAAATAAAATAAAGTATTTCTGAAATAAGTGATTATCCTAAGTTTTCTGAGGATCTCAAAATATGAGGGAGGCAGTGGAATCAGCTTTAAATAAAACTTTTCAGCTTTGAATAAAGGAACAGAAACTCAGATGCTTTGTGATAACTTGCATAGCCACAATTTGACGAAACAAGCAGTCTGTTATTTTTCTTTTCATGTCCTTATGAAGATTAATGGGAATGACTGCTCCTGTTCCACTTGTACCTTTTTAAACTCTGCTCAGTGTAATTCATATTTGGAAGGACCTGGTTCTGATCAGCATGTGTGTGTACATGAGTGCGCGGATGTGTGCATATAAACTCAGAAAGAATTGCCTTGCTGCATACAAGTCAGAGAACAAATTAGAAGTAGGGATTTTAGGCAACTTAGAATTTAACATTTCACATAATGCTGCTTAAAGGCAACTGAAAGGGTAATCAACGTGCAATCTTCCCTTAGCTGTTGAACAATGATGGATATGGAGATTTCCAAAGCCTCATCACAGGCGGAAGTCCCTTTCAATGGCTGGACAAATATTTGAACTGATTGTGTCTGTCTAATCCTTTGCAGTTTTAAAATGTTACCTAGCTCCAGGAAAATAATATACTCCCAGATCAGCCTAAAATGATTACGGAAACTTCATACCCTTCTTGTTTTTATTTATGACAGCATGTTAGGATTAATAATGCTATTACCAGCATACAGTGGCCATCAATATAGACATATTCTCTGCAAAGTGGGCTAGTCTGCTAGTTCTTCTTATTCCCTGTTTTCATAATTTT